GATGCAAACTAGTATAAATATTTGAATAGATAAAAAAAATGGCATATGAAATTAAATGAAATACAAATTCAGTTCGACAGTATAATGTCAACTATCTCTTCTGCAATAGAAAAGTGCAATAGGAGAAATAAAATCTACTCATGTTGTGTGTAAAATGCCCAAAGAAGGAGGGTGTTGACATGAGGACAAAAAGAACAAACTTGGGAATTAAAATAATGTTATTGCAGGAGTCAACACAGCTACATGTAGAAGAGAGAGAGAGAGAGAGAGAGAGGGAACGGTCATTGTCCTGCTGCTGGGTGACACCACCATTGAATGACTGTCCAAGGTTCACAAAGGCTTTAGATACCATTGTGAAGCAAAGTCCCACGTCACCTTAATACTAAAGTAATATTAAGCATATAAGTATGAGGGCACCCTCACCTTAATAGTTACTTTTTGGGGTGAGTTCTATCCAAGATCGTGTAACATGGTATCAGAGCTAAAGTATTCAGAGATGGGTAAGGTGCATGTCCCTGGCCTGCACGGCATAGGGACTGTCAAGTGAGCACGCTGGGCATGAGGGAGGGTGTGAGGCGAAATCCCACATTGCCTAAGTACTAAAATAATATTAAGCATATAATCATGAAGACATCTTCACCTTAATAGCTAGCTTTTGGAGTGAGTTCTACCCAAGATTGTGTAACAGCCATCTCTTTGACAGAATCACTTTCAGAACATTTACATAGAACGGAAGGTCACCATCTCAGTGAGAAGAGAACCAGGGTCAGAATTTGGCAAAGTAGGCAGGGCAGCCTCAGAAGTGCTACTACTGAATTGAAAACAAAATATCCGTTGCCTTGTGCCACGGGCCATATCTCTTTGACATGGGAATATTCCATTGCCACGAAGGCTAAAGCGGAAGAGACTAATAAGGTCATAATTGGTGAAGCTAAATTATAAATAATAATAATAATAATAATAATAATAATAATAATAGTAATAATAATAATAATAATTTTGCCAAGCGGGCCTTACGAAATTGAAATCAAGAAGTAATTCAATTTATTTTTCACAAATTTAAATAGAATGGTTCACAATACCACAACAATAATAATAAGGGCAAAATTCAATTTGATTTAACTCGTTACAATGAAAACCTTAAGTCAAATATGGACGCTCCCAGGGATGGCTCCAAGGCTTGGTCAAGGGTGTCACCCGAACCCCCTGGCTGAATTTTTTTATTTATTTATTATATAAATATTAGATTTTAGGAAAAAAATTAGTAATTGAACCCACTAAAATACAATTTTGAACCCATAGTTTTAAGTCCTACTCTTTTGAACCCACCAATTTTGAATCCATATTAGATATTAGCATGTCTTTTTGCTTAAACAATAGTATCAATATATTGAAATATTTTTGTTTATAATTTTAGAATTTAAATTCATTTGTTGATTTTTTTCTCCATAGGTGATATAATGATTAATGTGAATTTTCTGTAAGATATATGGTATTTAAGTTTTTGATTGATACCACTGACAAAAATTCATAGAGTCGCCACTGGGCGCTCCTATGAGAAAATCCATACTTCAAAGCACTTAAAGCCAGGCATCAAAGTAAGTTGGTTGCTTCAAAGCTGTTATTCACATATTACACAGATAGAATAAGGCATAAAGCCATATTCGCCATGCAATCGATCAAACAATTGGAATATAAAACCAGATCATGACAAATGATATTTGAAGAGCTCAGTTTTATTGATATGCAATATTTACATTAGGAACACCTACTTGATTACATTCTCAATTTCATAAAAGTAAGAAATGGACAAAATTACAAGATCATGGAACTTTGTCTAGCAAAATTCAATAAATACATACTCTTTTCCTAACCTATCTCCTATCCTATCTAAATTTGATTTGTCAAACTGATGAGCCCTTAGTTGGAAGAAGAGATGATGGGCCTTCAATTCAAATTATGTTTGTTTAAGAGCCTTGTTTGTTTCATCCATTTCTTATTTCCCATGTGCTTCATCCATAGTGGCATCTTCTCCAAACTCTAAGTCTTGGTTCTTGAAGTTCTCATATTCTTCAAGAAGATTCTCTACCTCATACTGAATTTGAATACGAGCAGCAGAGGTTTCCTCCAGCAACCCACTGGTAATGGAAGTATTTGTGTGCCAGTTGAGTAGAAGATGAAGTTGATCCAAGAAAGTATAAAGCTTTACCTGGGCTATAGGGTTAAGGATGTGGCTTCAAGAGGTAATGTCACAAGACCACAATAAGTTCTTGTGAGGAATATCATCTCGAAGGACCTCAAAGGATAGATGGGAGAAAGCAGCAAGCAAAGTCTAGGCTCTATACTGTTGGGTAAGAAGTAGAAAGAATTGGGGCTTGGTAGGGAGCAAAATGCTAGCTCTCGAAGAGAGTGAGTTTTAGTTCTTCAATCCAATTAGGATTGGAAGGCAGAGAATGAGTAATTGGATCCTCTCCAAATGAAGATGGGAACTCAGACTTGTTCACACATTCTAGCTAATTAGATGAGCAAAATTTTGCTTTTTTAGCTAAGAATAAGAGACTGATTCCCAAGGACTCAACATGGTATGGAGTATTTTGCACTGTTCTGGACAGCACGGTGGAGATATACCATTCCGAAAGCAAGTTGTCCTCAAGGCTGCGAAGACGGTCGAGAGGGACGTATGGATATACCACAGAGCTACGCATGGAGGGATGGATTGCAATGGGGTCATTGAATTCAGGGAATCAATGGTGGATTCGCTCCTTTGTTTGAGGTTGAGTGGGTGTATACCAAGTTCCCCAGCCAGTGCTGTTAGAAGTGTTGTTAGAGGAAGAGAAGGCAGCTTCATCCCATGCAAAAAGTTTGAAGGCAGAAGAGGAGCTTCCAAGATCCATTTTTGCAAATTCTTAGTCCAAAGGTTTGTAGTTGGCAGATTCTTGGTCCAAAGGTTGATAGTTTGCGAAAGCATCCATAACTTGAATAAATAGAGGCGGATAAGCGTGACCAATAAATGCATGAAGTTTCTTTCGAGCACGAACATCATTGTCTAATACCTCTTCGTATGTACGATCAATGAAAAAAAAGGTTTGTTTGGCCATGAGAACTATATTAGCCTTTTCAAATACCCAGATAGTGGAAAATGTTCAACCACAGGAAAGAATTTAATGCAGATCAAGTGCTTCATTTATGGAAGACGGTTGCATTTCTAAGAAGATGCAAAGTCCATGCACGTCCTAGGACGTGGACAAAGTGCGTTGAGTTCATTAATATCACTAAATATTGGGTGTATTAATGCGGGGGGTAATGTTGGCTATATATTTTATAAAAGCTAATCGCAGCTTGACACGTGATACATGAGGAGCAATTCGGGGAGTTAATACAAGTCTCTAGTAAAAAATTAGACACATGGCAGGTCACATTGGTTATAATGGATCTACACAGCACTAGAATAGGTAAAAGGTGCAAGATGGCGTGGTACAACGGTTACTCACGAATTCAAATTCAAATCCAAGAGGGAAGCCTAACTGCAAGAATGGCGTAGTGGGACTGACTGTAAGAGAGCATGATCGGCAATCATGGGAGCCCACTTCGACGATTGGAAGCCCACTTCGACAGTTACCCTTGAAGAGTATAAATAGTATGGAAGGTCCCAAATTGAAAGACCTAGACTCAGATCCAGAAACCAGTCATTTACTTCATATTTTCTTTTCAGTTTTATATTTCCAGTTCTTTACATTTTTAGCATTTCAATTCCTATACTGCACTTTATTTCCTAGGAGTAGTTCTCAAATAGTTGTTACTGTAAATCTTTTTAAGACTAGATCATTTTATTATAAGTTAGTATTCACTCAATGAAATTCGGTTTCTAAATTATTATGTACTTGTTATTTCTTATAAAAAAATTTCCTTAAACAAGCCACCAGTAAAAATCCTCTTCATTGAGACTGAAAGAATTTCAACACAATCGTCTGATAATTGGGTTGATAGTTAAAATTCTGTAAGAACTGATTGATCCTTACTGACACGCTTAAAATTATACAATTAACCTTCGAAAGCCAAAAAAATCAACAAATATATTACATAGAAAGAAAATTATTATTATTATTTTTTGAGGTGTGAAAGTGAGTCATAATTATTTTTTTATACAATGGTTAGGGAGGCAATAAAGGAAAGAGAAATGACAGCCATATATTGAACGCAATAAAATTAAAACTTAAACATTACTAGAGTGAGAAAATCTCGTGTGAGAAGGGAAAAAAAATATTAAATATATTAATTTATATAGAGACAATAGCTTGTCAATACTATCAGGTCATGTTTGATTCACAATACTAATAGTGAGGTATTAATAATCCTATCAAATTAGTGTGATATTAACTATCCCACCCCTACTCCATTACTAATAATCCTACAAATTTGTTGGATTAATTATCCATTGAATTAATAGTCCTAAACCAAAATGTCAAAACAAACATAGGATGATTGGGCCCACGGATTAATAATCCTAATCCCATGCTTTAATCCTTCCTATCAAACATGCCCTCAGTGAATTTAATGAGAACCAAATTCTGTAACCATGCACAGCAAGCATTTTAATTTTTGTTCATCTGCATTGAACATCATCGCCACGTACTCTTTCTTTCTTATCTTTTTTCTTTCTGCTTCCTGCTTCGCTATATTTTAATTTTTTGCACTTTTCGCATTAATTATAGCTTTCGTACAGTTCAAAGTTGTTTGTTCAGTTTTTCTACACGGACAAAATTGTTTGTTCAGTTTTTCAAAAATATTAAGATCGCATGCACTAAAAACCCTGTTTCTACTTTCTGGCCATCCAAGCAAAACACATGCATATAAACAAAAACGAGAAGAAAAAAAAAAATTTACTCTAATATTAAGGACGGTTAGATTATCATCAGACATCACTGTATGCCGCATATGTATGTGAGATATCCTCATCCAATTCTGTTTAAACCTATTCATACCATATGCAATTTAGTACATTTGAAATGAAATGATTATGAGGATTAAATTCATAAGCAATCATATGTTTACATTAATACAAAAGCCAAAAAAAAAAAAAAAAAGAATACAAAGAGGGCATTTCAAGTCTAATCATACAAGAGAGACTGATGGATCATATCCCTGAGATACAAAGGCCTCATCACTCTTATGAAAATAATCGAGCTGTTAAATTGGGAAACTTATACCTCCTGGCGAAGCAAACAAAGGCGGTGCAAGACCAAGGACCTGCTCCTAGTTTTACATTTGCATGCCCATTGTCAGAACTGCTAACACAAGTTGCTTATTCTTTCCAGATGGCCTTCACCAATGTCATAAATATTGCACATCTTCTTTGCTGTCAAACAAGCAATGTCACATCAAATGTTAATAAAACCTAATCTTATGCTAAACACAAAAAAAACCACCTCGCAAAAACAAACTATGATAGCATTATATAATAAGCATGGATGCAAACTAGTATAAATATTTGAATAGATAAAAAAAATGGCATATGAAATTAAATGAAATACAAATTCAGTTCCGACAGTATAATGTCAACTATCTCTTCTGCAATACAAAAATGCAAAAGGAGAAATAAAATCTACTCATGTTGTGTGTAAAATGCCCAAAGAAGGAGGGTGTTGACATGAGGACAAAAAGAACAAACTTGGGAATTAAAATAATGTTATTGCAGGAGTCAACACAGCTACATGTAGAAGAGAGAGAGAGAGAGAGAGAGAGGGAACGGTCATTGTCCTGCTGCTGGGTGACACCACCATTGAATGACTGTCCAAGGTTCACAAAGGCTTTAGATACCATTGTGAAGCAAAGTCCCACGTCACCTTAATACTAAAGTAATATTAAGCATATAAGTATGAGGGCACCCTCACCTTAATAGTTACTTTTTGGGGTGAGTTCTATCCAAGATCGTGTAACATGGTATCAGAGCTAAAGTATTCAGAGATGGGTAAGGTGCATGTCCCTGGCCTGCACGGCATAGGGACTGTCAAGTGAGCACGCTGGGCATGAGGGAGGGTGTGAGGCGAAATCCCACATTGCCTAAGTACTAAAATAATATTAAGCATATAATCATGAAGACATCTTCACCTTAATAGCTAGCTTTTGGAGTGAGTTCTACCCAAGATTGTGTAACAGCCATCTCTTTGACAGAATCACTTTCAAAACATTTACATAGAACGGAAGGTCACCATCTTAGTGAGAAGAGAACCAGGGTTAGAATTTGGCAAAGTAGGCAGGGCAGCCTCAGAAGTGCTACTACTGAATTGAAAACAAAATATCCGTTGCCTTGTGCCACGGGCCATATCTCTTTGACATGGGAATATTCCATTGCCACGAAGGCTAAAGCGGAAGAGACTAATAAGGTCATAATTGGTGAAGCTAAATTATAATGGCGCACCAAACATGAGGATGCTTCAGTTGTGACACCTTAGCAAGGAAAGGATTTCTCTCTGTGCCACACAAATGTGAGTTTTGTTTATTGCATGTCCAAATATCAATTACTTTAAATGCTTGTTCAATGTTTTTTGAGCCACTATGAGGCCTAAAACAATAAAAACAATTAAGATGGTCATTCTAGACCTAACGAACTAATGATCATTATAAACAAGCACTAATTTATATAAAAAGAAAATGTATAGGCCATTGGACTTGAAATTCTTGAGGACTGAGAAGATCTCATAGCATCACAATCATTTCCAAACTCCCTTCACTGCAAAGAATAGCTTCACAAAGATAAATTCGGCGAATGAAAATTACAATCTCTAATCCACAATCCAAGATGAAAGCAAGTAACAAATCAGAACTCACGGATGAAAAAGTATGAATAGGATATTATAAAAACAAATCAATGGCAAGCCCAAAGCATGCTTCGTAGAGGAACTACCACATAATTCAATTTATCCAAATTTGCTTGTCCAAAATACTATTAAAGTGGAGAAAATAAGAGAGTAAAAGCAGACACCGGAAGCATTACTCTCTGCCTGTCATATGCATTTAATGCTCTATGATTTTGACTGACAACAAAATAAGATTCTTATTAAGGAAAAAGGTGTCATATGTATCATACCTTGTAAATAGAGAGAGTACATTGTCAAATTGACCACAATATCCCAAACTAACGCTCCATTTGTTTGGACGAAAAACATTTTTTAGAAAATGTTTTTCATATTTTCTGATGTTTGGTACAATGGAAAACGAAGGTCCATGGAAAATAAGCCTATTTAGACAGAAAATATTTTCTACTTTTAAAAGGCAGAAAACATTTTCCAAACCAAAATTCTACCAATGTCTCCACACCACCACCACTACTCTCATCTCCACCACCACACCACCATCCCCATGGCCACGGCCACCATCACCGTCACCCCACCACCATGCCATCTTCATTCCACCTCTACCTTTGTTCCACCACCACTACTACCAAACATAGAAAAATGTTTTCTCCGAAAAACATTTTCTACAAAAAGTTTTCCACAGAAAATGTTTTTTATTAGAAAATGCTTTCTGTCCAAACAAACGGAGCATAAATTATGATTTCCCTATATGGATTCAAGACAATTTTAATACATAAAACAAAAGTCAAAATGCTGATTAAAATAAAATATAACTTTTTTCCCGAAAACAAATAAACACGTGGGAACTTATGACCAAGGTAGTTGAAAGAACAGGAAGGCCAAATGAGCGCAGTTTCTAGGTCACTTGAGAATGAAAGGAAAAAAAGGTAGAAAGAGAAAGAGTGGAGTTTGAGAAGATGCCTCCTACCAGGAATACATGACGTCTTCAAGAAGAGAAAACAAAAGAAACACTTCATATGCAAAAGGGCTCTACCAGCTACCAGAAAAACTAAAAAAATTGTAGTAGTGGAAAGGAGGGGGAAATCAAAAAATAACCCTCCAAAACAGGCATGAAAAGTGCCTTGCCAAGATGCCATTTCAATAAATATCTATTATTGCACCTCAAAAGAGGTAGAAGCAATTAAATTTATTGAAAAAAAAATTTCCCTATAGGACATGATACCCTAATAAAAGGTAATCTATACCACTACTTGCCTTCTCCAAAACTTGAAGCCTCACAGAAAACTGAGTAACAGAGAAGCCTGAACTAGCAACCCCAACAATGGAAATAAAAAATGGCCTAATAATACGGATCTTTAGATCTTACAATGTCAACATAAAAAATTTACACCAAAATATCATAAAATATATCTTTGTTTTCTTGTGCAGTGGATAAAGAGTCCCAACAAATATAAAAGCTAGTCCAACATGCTTAAAGCGTGTGCTAACTACTGTCTTCTCACTAGTACAAATTCTACGTGGTGACAAACATTTGCATGCATGCATGTTGATTATTAAAACACACACATGCACTAGCGGGAATGTTAAAAACTTTTTTTTTTGTTTGTTTCAGTCAAGTTCAGCCACGTTCGCAAAATGAAGTTAGAGTTCCAAAGGAAAGGTGTGACTATCTGTTCTGCAACTAGCTCAAAAAACGGAAGGTAAACATAGTTAAAATTTACGGTTATGATAGAAAATAATATGGCATATCACAAAACCATGAAAATTAACAATTGGGAGTTTGGACATTCTATCAAAAAGCAACAGTGATTTTTGAACTGCAAAACTGTGCAACCTAAACAGCCATTGAATATTGAAGCGAAATTGCACATCAGTGACATTTCTTGATAAAAAGGGCAGCACACTCAAACCTTGTTTTCGTAGGTAAGTAGAATTTGAAAACAAAAAATAGAACAAATTAAACTTCTTGTAGATTAACATCCATGCTCAGAGTGATAGAGAGAGCAAGCAATATTTTTTATTTGCATATCTAGATAATATAACTCACAATAATACCGAACCCTACAGACTACAGATCCACAACTGCGTTTTCAACTGAACTCACTAACACCAATAATGTACATTTATCACACATGCCAATAACCATGATGAAGTTGACAAGCCTCACGGTAATACAATAAATTAAGCATAAAATATCCATCTTTAACAGGCAAATTTTAAACAGAAGTCAGAAATTAAACCCCATACAAGTCAATATATCATATTATTATTATGTATGAATTCTTCATAGTCAATTTGTAAAAATCATGATGAAAGAAGAATAAACGAAATAATCAACCACACAAATGAAATCTAAATACCAGAGAGACCATCCCTACCAAGCATATAAGTTGGCCAGTCAATGAATAGCCTGCTCCAGACCAAGTTCTTCCCCTTCACCTCCAAGAATATTATCAAGCGAAACAGTCGAACAAAAGCTGATAACCTTGTGGAACCGATTAGCCAGTACTGGCAAATTCGGAACCTTCCTCCAACTGCACTTACCAGAATCACTACTAATCTCACAAACACAAGCTGGGTAATTCCTGTGATGCTCTTCATTGAACATATATATAAGGTTACCTAATCCAACACATTTCAAGCTAGCAAACTTATCATCCTCATCACTATCAAACAAACAATAAAGTAAGTCCTGAGGCATGATTGCTATCTCACTGAACTCCATTGTTTTCTCATCAATCTTCCACAAATTAAACGACGGGCCACGAGGGCCATTGCACAATCCAGCTAATACAAGTTGATCTTGACAAGACACCAAGAATGAAAACAAAACCCCAGGAGGCCTAAGTGTCTGGACCTCACTCCAAAAGTGTTTGTTCAAATCAAAAGATGAAACAAAGCATGAGCAAATCCCAAATACATAGAATTTCCCTTTAAACAAAGCAGAGGACAACCATTGAGACGAATTTGCTGACCTGAAATCTGCAGGCAAAGGAGGACAAAGCTCCCAAGAATCAGAATTGGGATTGTATATCTCAACAGCTAATCTATCCTCAATATCAACCAACCCACCAATGAACCTAACACCACCAACGACAATAAATCGAGACAACCCAGATGGGTGATCGGTGTACACACCCACGAGAGGATTGCAGCGAGAGAACCTGAGAGGAGGGGTTTCACGCCAAACCCCTTTGAGAATGGGAGTGTAGCTGAATTTGGAAGAGGTTGTGGTGAAGAAGAAGCCTCCGGAGCCGATAAAGGACTCTTCTTGGGAAGAGGGAAAAGGGAAGAGAGAGATGGGGAGTTTGATCCACTCGTTGGCTTCTGGGTCGAAAGCGAAAGCTTGGTTGTTCTTGAGGAAGATGTTGTTTTGGCCGTAGAGGAAGAACCAGGGTTTCTTGGCGGCGGAGACGCGGGCGGAGAAGGAGGAGGTGGTGATGATGGAGTGCCAGAGCTTGCACACGGCGGCGGACCGAACGATGGACCGAATTGGGAGGTAGGAGAGGATGAGTTCGGTTAGGTCTGAGCTAAGGTAGTCCCAATTGAAGAAATCGATGGTGGGTTTTGAAATTGAATCTTCCATGATTCAAAAGATTGAAGCTTTCGTTCCAGTAATCGATTCAAATAGTTGATTTTCGATTTGGGTGGGTGGGTGGAGAGTGAGATGTTGAACTAAAAGTGGACTTTGGGCAGAGAGAGAGTGAGAGAGTGAAAAGATGGGAGTGGTTGGGTGATAAAGACCGAGGAGAGAGGGAGGGAGGGGGAGAGAGAGAGAGAGTGCTTGTTTGCGGCATAGGAGAATTGAACGCATGACCTCCTTAGGATTAAATCCAAAGGAAGGCATGGTGACCAACTAGCCTAGGCATAGTTGGTTCTAAATGGTTAGCAATTTAGTGATATGAACATTCATATTTTACAATATGAATATTCACATTGATAGTGTAAATGTTCACATCACGGACATTCACACTGTCAATGTAAATATTATTTTAGGGATATTTTGGTAATTATGTTATCCATGAGACTTAGGCTAAGTTTGACATCTTTAAAAAAAAGTTAAAAAATTAAAAAATTATTATTTTATTTAAATCATATTATTTTTTTATCACATCACTTTAAAATTAACTCATATTTTATAAAAAGTCAAAAAGTATACTTATTTAAAACATCTCAAACAATCCCAAGTATGAAAAATGTTTAGGATGGCACAAAAGAGAATCTCATGGCTATTGATATATTATCTATTGATGTATTTAAATTTGTTGAGACTTATGTTTAACCATGAATTGTTCAGATCATTTTAGAAATTATAGGGTCATATTTTGTGGAATTTCTATCATTATTGTATTTAATATTTTTAAAATATTATATATCTGCTTTTTTAATTAATTATTATTTAATATGTCTTTTTATGTCCTCTAATCATTCAATATAATATACCGCATTTTTTACCATGCATTTTTTACCAATTATAATACTATGAACTCTTACATATCTATATTTCAAAATTACTGAATAATTACTCAAGAAAATGGGGGAAATTGTGGCTGAGAAAGATGTTGGTGTTTGCACATTAGTGTGGGAAATTATTCATTACAGTGTTTTTAATAGATGATTAAAAGTTAATTTTTTAATATTTCGTAACTTTTTAATTTTATTTTATTTTTGTAAGAGAATAAGTGAATTAAAAGTTGACGTAAATATCTCTACATCTATAAAGTATTAAAAAAATTCGAGTGATATTTAATATAAAGTTCGAGTGATATTTTAAATAAATAAAAAAGTTTAGATTATTTTATATCAAAAAAAATGCAATAATATCAGGGACCAATCAGTAAATTGAATAAAGTATTATTCTGAATAATTTCTCCTAAATCTTTCGTCATTTGATCAATAGTACCCACTCGATGTTAACAATTGATTGCATGGTCCAATTTTAGAAGGAGCAAATATTTGAAAGCATAGTATCTTGTTTGGTAATTGAATTTTTTAATTAAAAATGTAAAAAATTATTCAAAAAATTAAAAAATTAATAATTTATATTAAAAAGTTAAAGATTTTTTTTTTTTTTACTTTTTGTATATTTTTTCGTAAAAAATTAAAAAGTCATTTCAAACATATTAATTTTTTTATATCATATTTTAGTCAAAAAACTAAAGAAATACTAAAAAAACATGTTCCCAACGATGCCAAGTGTTTTGGAAACTTCAAAAAGCTTCTTTTTTTTCGTTTTTAGCTTATTAATACAAAAAAAGTTATAAAAAAAAGTCACAAAAAAGTCAACTTTTTTAACACAAAAAAATTAAAAAGTCACGAAAAAAATTAAAAAGTTAACTTTTTACTAACTTTTCAAAACACCACTTAATTAGAAAGAGAAATTATTCATAATTTCAAATTTAGAAAATATCAACCTTTAATTAATTTTACCCACCCAAAAAAAAAAAGCTTCCAAAACTATTTTAAATATTTTCCTAAATAACTCACTTTTGTTTTAGGAGACAGATTTTTATTTTGTTTTTTTATAAAAATAAATAAATAAAAACACAACCGTACAAATTAAATAATATTAAGACATGTTAAATTTTCCAATGGTTAGAGATATGATCAAATAATTTTAAAATAACATAATCTCACTTTTGATTTTTTTTTTTTTAAATATCTTAATATTTACATGGCATTTTAACTTGCACATGCAAGATTATTTTGTCAAATAAAAAGATGTGAGATAACTGAGATATTAATCACCTCGTTTAGTTTTAGAACTTTGATTTCACTTTTTCAAAAAATTAAAATTTTTATTTTTCATATTTTTTTATTTTTATTAAAGTTTTTTAATATTTTAAGTAAATATCTTAGTATTTTGATAAACCTAACATAAATACTCTTAAAATTTTAAATATGTATGAAAAAAATCTTTACAAAAGTCAGTAAATATCAAAATTATTAAAAAAATACAAAAATTCATTATATTATAGTATTCTTGTATATTTATTTTTTTACAAATATTTTATTTTGAAAAAGGTTTTTCTCCATGTAGGTGCTCCTACATTCCAAACAATATGATAACTTATGATTGTCCACTTGTTACACAAATCTCAATAACTTTCTTTCCATCAACGTTAATTTCAATTTTAGGAAACATAGTTTTAGGAATTTAGATATGTCAAGAAAGTTTATTGCTGTCCAACAAAATAGTTTTAAATTACAAAAAAACTCCTCATGCTTATGAGTTATTTATTTGTGAAGTGCTTGATTAGTATATTTTGTAATTTTTTATAAAAAAAAATATAAAACATGTGTTGGGATATAGTGATATGATAAAAAAGTAATATGACATAAATAAAATAATTGTAATCCAAATAAGATAATATACTAAAATAACGTGTGTTTTTTATCACATGACAAACAACCCCTTAAATCAATAAAACAAACCCTAAATATTACATAAGTGGATATCCTCCATCTTAACTTGGTTGTAAGGGGTTGTTTGGTAAACATTTTGGACTAAAAAATCACAAAATGTCAAAAAATCACAAAAGGAGCCATTCCTACTTATTAGTTATTTAATTGTGAAGTGCTAGATTAGTATATTTTATAATTTTTTATAAAAAAAAATATAAAATATGTGTTGGGATATAGTGATATGATAAAAAAGTGATATGACATAAATAAAATAATTGTAACTCAAATAAGATAATATACTAAAATAACGTGTGTTTTTTATCACCTGACAAACAACCCCTTAAATCAATAAAACAAATCCTAAATATTACATAAGTGAATATCCTCCGTCTTAACTTGATTGTAAGGGGTTGTTCGGTAAACATTTTAGACTAAAAAATCACAAAATGCTAAAAAAAAATCAAAAAATCACAAAAAGACAAAATAAACAAAAAGACAAAAAAAAAATAAAAAAAATACACCATTCCAAAGCCAAAAAGCCTAAACAAGAATACCAAACGATTAAAAAAGTCTCAGGCTAAAAAAGTTTAAAAAGTCAAAAATTAACTAAAAAAATCATTACCAAATAAGCACTTAAAGTTTTTATTTTATTTTTATTTTTTTACTTCTACTTGTTTACTTTTCAATCATTCTCATTCTTTGGTTATTTTTATTGTATCATATCAGGACATCTTCAATCATTGGTTCAAACTTATATCAAATTTAAATTTTAAAAAAAAAATACTCGAAACACCCTTCACTTCCCAACTCAAACTTATATCAATTTAAATATTATTCATATTTTTTTCCAAAGGGCAAATTACACTGACCTCTCCTGAGGTTTGCCTTAATTACAGAAACCTCTCCTATAGTATCAAAACTTACACCGACATCCCTTACTTTTGAAACTAATATACAATGACCCATTTCCCGTCAAAAGAGCCTTAACGACGTTAATTTGACAGTGAAATCGACCATAATATCGTTCAACCCATTGTCTTTCACAAAGAGCTAACCCACTCTGTATCATCAGCATCTTTCTCACTCTACTATCCATTTCCACCATTGTCTTCCTCACATTCTCTTCCCAAACCTCTCTAATAAAAAACCCAAAACCCAAACCAACAATAACCCCTCTTATATACACCCAAATCGCTAACTCAGCTTGCTATGGAACTCTCTATCCAAACCTTTGTGTCTCCACAATGTACACATTGAATGCCCTCTTGTGCTGATCAAACACACATATACACAGAGTGTTAAAGAATTCAAATTGGCAGTGCATACATAGATAATTCGACAATTGATTCAAGGGTTTAAGCAAGGGATCAGATATGTGAAGTGTGAGAGAGAGAGAGATAGAGAAAATGATATGAAGAAAAAGTATGTTGGAGTGTGGATCGAAGGACATGACTTGGCCTTCGAGCTCTTCTCTGAGCGTAGTTTTGATTGAGAGAATACATCCGACTGTTATTTCTTCACCTCCGCCGATGATTGAATCCGTGTGTGTGTGTGTGTGTGTGTGTGTGTGTGTGTGTGTGTGTGTGTGTGTGTGTTTATTCAATCACAATTGTTTTGTGCTTGGCAAGAACATATCCAACCCAAGTCAAATCAGGTGCAAAGTTTAAGGCCATAACAAATCGAGATTGAAGTTCCAGTTGATATGAGATCTGTTCGTAATCCAGTCGAAAACTCCGCCGACCTCTCGCCGTCCTTGAGCTTCACATCTTCTCCTCATCGCATTACTACCATCGCACTCAACACCATTGCGATCTCTCTGTTTCTCTCCTCAGATCTAGGATTTTTGGAAGTGGTGCGCAGAGATGGATAAACTGAAAGAGAGAGAGAGAGGAGTTTGATATGGTGATGGCGGCACTGGGCATGAAGTCTTATCTCCCACAGATTTCTTATATCCCCGGTGGCCACTTGATACATCAAAAATCTATGACAGTCCATACATAATGTGTTAATCATATTCGAATTTTATTATATATATGGGTATATATATATATATATATATATGTGTGTGTGTATGGGGAGGTAAGGGCAGTATTGGAATTTGAAGAATAATTTTGGATGACATCAGCCAAATCTGTTTGAATTTGGATGGGTGGGTAACAAAAGGGGATATTTGTATATTAGTTTCAAAAGTAAGGGAGGTCTGTGTAATTTTTGAAACAATAGGAGAAATTCCTGTAATTAAGGTAATCCTCAGGAAAGATTAGTGTAATTTACCCTTTTCCAAATTTAGGGAGACTCAAATTCTTACTTAAAATTTTTAAGGTTATTTCATAACTCTCAAATTTACCACTTTGTTCAAGTGAAATTTTTACTCAAATTTAAGTTGTTTTTTATTTTTATCAACATACTCAAATTTAAGTTTGTCTATTGGATTGTTCAAGAAAAAAAAAAAGTTTGCCTATTGGAGTGCTCCAAATCAAATTAATTGAGTTTTTTTTTAAAGTAAGAGTTCGTTTGGCATAAAAAAAGCCAAAGACTTTTTGGTTAAAATAGTCACAAAATGACAAAATAAGTTTTTTAGTTCAATAAGACAAAACATCAAATTCAATCCATAATTATTTCATTTTTTCTCTCACAAAAGTCAAAAAAGTCAAAAAGCCTATCCCAAATAAGGCTTTTTAGCCCCAAGCTAAAATAATCAAAAAGTCAAACCATATTCCAAACGAATCCTAAAAATATAAAATATACATTGAGTTTTTATTTTTTAATTTTTATATACAAATCAATGCGTTAGGGGTTTTTAGAGACCAGATTATAATAGTAATTTTTTTAGAAAGTTAAAAGATTATATTTTAGATCCGAAAAATTAATTTAAAAAATGAATAAGGCATCTAAAATATTTAGAATTCTAAAATACATATTTCCTAATATTTGAGTTAACCTTAACTGTAGGAGTATTTAATAAGAATGAGTGAATTTTTGAATTGTGTAATTTTGTATTATAACTGGCTAATCATAAGTTGCCACGTGGTTTAGGATGTAGGAACTTTTACATAATGGGTTGGAGAAAACCTTTTTTTATTTTTATTTTTTAGTTTAGGTACATTTAAAAAGCAAAAAAATTACTTAAAATATTTTTAAACATTCACTAAAAATTAAAAAAAAAAAAAACACAAAAAAAAAAAAAGCTCAATTTTTAAGAACCAAAAAAGGTGAATATTTTTGTTGATTTTTTTTTTTTTAAATAACATTCTTTCAATGAGTTATTTGGAAATAACAAAATAATTTCCAGTCCCGAGTACTGTCTACGATGAAACATCAAATTATCATTGCCATATTTGATTTGTATTTGTAAAATAATTTTGAAAAATAATCTTTTAAAAATTAAAAATTTTGTTTGGTTATATATTTTGAAACAACCTCGTTTTGTAGCTCGAAACTTATGAGGCTCGAATGGCCTAAGTCCAAAATGACAACATTTTGGTTTTTTTTTTTTTTTTTTTTTTTTCGTTTTTTCTGAAGATGAAAAAGAAGAAGAAGAGGGAGCTGGAGCTAGGAGTTGGACAACTTCATCAACATCTTCATCAACATCATCATCATCAAAAACAACATCTTCATCAACATCATCATCATCATCAACACATTATAATCATCAACATTTTTTATTTATTTATATTTTTTTTCAGATCCAGATCTACTTAGAGAGAGAAAAAAAAAAGAAGAAAGAGAAAACATAGATCTTCATCAACATCATCATCAACAATATTTATTTTTTTATTTTATTTTTTATTTTTTTTTCAAATCCAGATCTATTTAGAAAAGAAAAAAAAAAGTCTGAAAGAAGAGATCGCCGATACCTACCGGCGCCGCCACCATCACCGTTGTCCTTTTTCTCTGTCACCTCTTCTCTCCTCCTCTTCTCTTCTCTCTCTCTCTCTCTCTCCTCTTCACTTCCCTTTGTTTGTGTTCGAAAGAAAGAAAAAGTAAAAAAAAAAAAAACACTGCCTAAAATGACGTCGTTTTGGATAGTCGGGCCATTCGAGCCGGACGAATTTCGAGCTACGAATCATTTTTCCTTTTGAAATAGTTTTAGAATTTAGAATGATTTAATTTTTTAATAGATGGGTGTGAGAAAAAAATGATTGATTGATGTGTAGGAAGTGAGAAAAAAGGAGATGAGAAAGAAAAAGTGATTAATTGAGAGAAAAAAATAATTTTGAGTTTTCATTTTAAAAATTTTCAACCAAATAAATTTTTACCCAGACCACCAATTTCCTGAGCCCAAAAGAGAAAACCCTCCACGGATTACAAGTCCAATTTAGAAGCCCACTTGATCAAATCATCGTATGACATGATCCTTTATTATTTGTATGCAAGTGAACAAGATTAATTGTCTCATTAGAAAAATGTTATATAAATAAACAGGTTGTTTTTCAATTTTATTTTATTTTTATTTTTATCACTAAACACAAAATCAATAAATTCACATGTAGTTACTAATATGAACCCTACTACATTTTATTTTATTTTTGTCTAGTGATAATAAAAATTTAATAAATAAATTTTTTATATATAATTTTACTCTAAATTGTTTTGTAAACCTTTTAACTTGACCCTCACTTCAAGTAGTATTGGCTCCTCTAATCATACATCAAAGTTGCTGAGCTAATTATCGCTTTAATTAAACAAATTACATTTTCACATCCAGGAAATTAATCTCACATTTCAATTCCTTGATCTTTCACAAAAATCAGATATGAACAATGACAAAAATACAATACCCATTTATATATTATAATTAATAATAAGTGCATTACATGAGACTTTAAGCAGTTGATTCCAACCCCATAAAATTCTTCTTTAATCTCCAATCTTCAAAGCTCTAGCACCACATCTGCCAACACAAAAAAATTACATACCAGTTAGCCACCTAGCTATATATATATATATACATATGGAGGAGTATTAAGAACACAGGTGAAATTCACAAAATTTATTCTACATGAGAGAGAGAGAAAGAAGAGGCTTACATTCAGAATCAGTAGTGATCCAATTTCCAGTTCTGGAAGAGCAGTGTTGTTGGATGTCATGGAGGGGGGTGGAATTCAAAGAAGACAGGTTCAACATGGAGGACTGATGATGATCATTCTTGGAAGAAGCCATGGAAATTGAAGAGTAGGCAGAGGAAGTGGTAGAGCAGCTTTCCACATCCCATCTGAAACTTATTTTAGGAGAGTCATTGCTTAGTTGATCATCATCTGGTACTGATTTTAGAGTTGCCTTATTCCTCAAGTGCATAACCTGTCAAATTTTAATTGCACACTCCCTTTAGACCCTAACCATTTCTACCAATTTTTTTCGTTTTTTCTAAAGATGAAGAAGAAGAAGAGGGAGCTGGAGCTGGGAGTTGGACAACTTCATCAACATCTTCATCAACATCATCATCGTCATCAAAAATATTTTCATCAACATCATCATCATCAAAAACAACATCTTCATCAACATCATCATCATCATCATAATCATCAACATTTTTTATTTATTTTTATTTATTTTCAGATCCAGATCTACTTAGAGAGAGAAAAAAAAAAAGAGAAGAAAGAGAAAACATAGATCTTCATCAACATCATCATCAGCATCATCATCAACAATATTTATTTTTTTATTTTATTTTTTATTTTATTTTTCAGATCCAGATCTATTTAGAAAAGGAAAAAAAAAAAGTCTGAAAGAAGAGATCGCCGATACCCACCGGCGCCGCCACCATCACCAGCGTCCTTTTTCTCTGTCGCCTCTTCTCTCCTCCTCTTCTCTTCTCTCTCTCTCTCTCTCCTCTTCACTTCCCTTTGTTTGTGTTCGAAAGAAAGAAAAAGTAAAAAAAAAAAAAATGCCCAAAATAACGTCATTTTGGATAGTCGGGCCATTCGAGCCGGACGAATTTCGAGTTACGAATCATTTTTAGTGAGAAAAATGGAGATGAGAAAGAAAAAGTGATTGATTGAGAGAAAAAAATGATTTTAGATTTTCATTTTAAAAATTTTCAACCAAATAAATTTTTACCCAGACCACCAATTTCCTGAGCCCAAAAGAGAAAACCCTCCACGGATTACAAGTCCAATTTAGAAGCCCACTTGATCAAATCATCGTATGACATGATCCTTTATTATTTGTATGCAAGTGAACAAGATTAATTGTCTCATTAGAAAAATGTTATATAAAAATAAACAGGTTGTTTTTCAATTTTATTTTATTTTTATTTTTATCACTAAACACAAAATCAATAAATTCACATGTAGTTACTAATATGAACCCTACTACATTTTATTTTATTTTTGTCTAGTGATAATAAAAATTTAATAAATAAATTTTTTATATATAATTTTACTCTAAATTGTTTTGTAAACCTTTTAACTTGGCCCTCACTTCAAGTAGTATTGGCTCCTCTAATCATACATCAAAGTTGCTGAGCTAATTATCCCTTTAATTAAACAAATTACATTTTCACATCCAGGAAATTAATCTCACATTTCAATTCCTTGATCTTTCGCAAAAATCAGATATGAACAATGACAAAAATACAATACCCATTTATATATTATAATTAATAATAAGTGCATTACATGAGACTTTAAGCACTTGATTCCAACCCCATAAAATTCTTCTTTAATCTCCAATCTTCAAAGCTCTAGCACCACATCTGCCAACACAAAAAAATTACATACCAGTTAGCCACCTAGCTATATATATATATATACATATGGAGGAGTATTAAGAACACAGGTGAAATTCACAAAATTTATTCTACATGAGAGAGAGAGAAAGAAGAGGCTTACATTCAGAATCAGTAGTGATCCAATTTCCAGTTCTGGAAGAGCAGTGTTGTTGGATGTCATGGAGGGGGGTGGAATTCAAAGAAGACAGGTTCAACATGGAGGACTGATGATGATCATTCTTGGTAGAAGCCATGGAAATTGAAGAGTAGGCAGAGGAAGTGGTAGAGCAGCTTTCCACATCCCATCTGAAACTTATTTTAGGAGAGTCATTGCTTAGTTGATCATCATCTGGTACTGATTTTAGAGTTGCCTTATTCCTCAAGTGCATAACCTGTCAAATTTTAATTGCACACTCCCTTTAGACCCTAACCATTTCTACCAATCACCAATTCAATAAATTACACAACTAAGAATTTAGGATCTGGTAAATATTACATTTAGGAATCTAAACGAGTTATATAGTTTATTTAAATTTGACTTAAAATCTAACGAGTTAGAAAATGTATGTTCAAGTTTAGTTATTTAGTTAGTTTATTTTTCGAACAGTTTTCAAATTGGTTTTAATTGAGTCGAGAGCATGTAACATAGATAATTCTATGTAATTATACTTCTTTTTCAAAGGATTTGGCTAGGTAGAATTTGGAAAGGCTACGGAGGATCAGAAAATGAATGAAAAATGGTTAATAATGACAATCTAATAAGATCTTTAAAAGATTGGTAAGAAATATTATATGTCTATAATGTATATAAACGAGTTGAATCAAGTAATATGCTATTCAATCTTGATTTAAAAACTTAATTGGGTCAATTTTAAACAAAATTTTAACGAGTCAAACCTGATTCAAGCTCTGATAACTTAATTCGTTATAACATTATCATGCATGCGAATAAATTGTTTCGATATATCCAAAAATATATATATATTGAGAATCATAGGGTTAAATTACCTTTCTACCCAAATACTTTGCAGCCCTCTCAGATTTAGCTGCAGCAGCCCATCTCAGAAGCTCCTTCATTCTTGAAATGCTCTTGTTCTTGTCACCCTTGGGCTTATCTTTCTTTTCCTCAGAGCCACACTGTTCCTCCATGGAAGTCAAAGACGGTAAAGCCACATCGCTGATCGGCAAAACTTTGTTCCCTGGATCGGCCTTATGGCCGATGCCTAGTCCTCTAGCAATATCTTCTTTTTTCATCTTCATTGAACAGTCGTCCGGTGGTGGTGCCGCCTTCTATAGAAGCTTCCCAACCTCTTTAGGTCAAGTGTGCTATAGAAGCAAGTCTTGGCAATGTCTCTTCTACCTAAGAAGAGTGTAAATGGGTTCAAATTGGTGCACCCAATAAATTTGCTCTCTTCCTCTCTTTTTAGTCTCTGATTAGGCCTGCCATTGTTGAACAATACTATGTCTTTTAATTTAGGTCTTTGATCTGAGAAAAAAGAGAAGCAAACAAACAAGATTGGTTAGTAATAAAAATGAGATGAACATCATGATATATTTTCATAAATGGGTAGTGAAAATTGTGTCTCACCATTGTCAGCTTTGGAAGGACTAGGACTAGGACTAGTGCTCTCTCTTGGTGGTTCATGTGCTACCTTGAAGAGCCATTGAAGGATCTGTTATATATATTAGAGACATCACTCACCAACTATGATGTGGATATAATACATTATTGAGCAATGCTACACACCAATATATATATATATATATTTGAAATGTTCAAGATATAAGTTACATCATATAAGAGTTAAATCTCAACTGCACATTATTTTTTTAAATATATTTGTGTGCATGAATTTAGTGCACACGTCTTTATTATACATTATATTATTAATAAAAGTGTATTGGAAAGGGAATTACTCAAAATAATTGCAAAAATGCAAACAAGCCCGTGTCTAGTGCAAGTGAAAATTGTCACATGAGACCTAGTATAAATACAAATTCTCCTGTATTATTTGATCGAATTAAAAAAACCCACCTGCATGTTATGGTTGATACTATGGGACACTTCAAAATATAGTGTGCTTGGACTTGAGTGAGAGAGAGTGAGAGAGAGAGAGAGAGAGAGAGGTGAGTATTGTTGGTCAAATGGACAGCACACAAGAGATCTATCTGTGCTGTCTGTATGCCCCCCAAAGATTCTTGTGGTCTTGAAGAGAAGAAGACAATTGAGAGAGTTGGAATTGAATCTAAGAAGATGATGAGACAACCAGGCAGTGAGTGGAGTTTGGTTGGCTTTGTGATTCTTAGTTTTAAGAGATTATTATTATCATATATAAGCTCATCATGTGGTGGGTAATTTAGGAGATATTTAATTTGATTAAGAAGAACAATAGGATTAGCCTCGTTGGTATATGCCTCTACCATACACATGTAGTTTTGCAATTCGTCGATTGAGGTGGTCCCCATTTAATTTGGGGATTTACATCGTCCTAAAGTCCCTAAGAATATTTGATTGAGTTAGTTGAGTTGAGAGATATTTGTTTGCCTTAATTTACCCCCAAGGCCTTTCAGTTTAGACTGATCTGGGAGTAATTCCAAGAAATGGTTGGAAAGGAAGCTATGATGGGCCAATTGTTATAGCAATGAAAGTACAATTTTGTTCTTTGGTCTTCTGCCCCACATTTACCAACAGCAAAAAAATTGTAAAAAAATAAATAAAGTGTAAATATAAAAATTAGTAATTACAAAAAGACTCAATAATTAG